GTCATTATGAATGGAATGTAATGTCCTTTGGATTAAAAAATGCACCTAGTGAATTCCAAAATATCATGAATGAAATTTTCAATGGCATTAGTCATTTTTCTATTGTCTATATAGATGATATACTCATCTTCTCCAGGTCCATAGAAGAACATTGGAAACATCTCGATGTTTTTCTTGAGATAGTTTGGCACAATGGTCTAGTCATCTCAGCTAAAATTAAGTTGTTCCAAACCTCAGTAAGGTTCCTTGGTTACAACATCCAGTACTCAACCATTATTCCCATCAGTCGTTCTATCCAATTTGCAGATAAGTTCCCTGATGAGATTTTGGATAAAACCCAGTTACAAAGGTTCTTAGATTCCCTAAATTATGTTTCTGACTTTTATCAGGATCTTAGAAAAACCGTTAAACCTCTGTATGACAGACTCAAAGGAAATCCTCCTCCTTGGACCTCTGTTCATACATTTATTGTTCAACAAGTCAAGAAGTTCATCAAAATTTTGCCTTGCCTTGGTATTCCTTCTGTTGATTCTTTTAAAATCATCCAAACTGATGCCTCCGACATTGGCTACGGTGGTATCCTCCTTCAAAAGCTCACTTCAGACTCTCCAGAACAAATTGTTCGTTTTCACTCTGGTATCTAGAATAATGCACAAAGGAATTATAGTACTATTAAAAAAGAAATTTTATCTATTGTCCTGTGTATCTCTAAATTCCAAGATGATATATTAAATCAAAAATTCTTAGTCAGAGTTGATTGTAAATCTGCAAAATATGTTTTGAAAAATGATACACAAAACATTGCTAGTAAGCAGATTTTTGCCAGATGACAGTCTATCTTAAGTATTTTCGATTTTGATCTCGAATATATTAAAGGCAGTAATAACTGCATCCCTGATTTCCTAACCCGTGAATTTTTCCAGGAATATCAAGACGGACAAGAAAAATAGTAAGGCTAGTACCTCTTCCAAAGCCAGGAGAGATACTGGAAAAAAAAAAACCTAATTACCCTTGCCAAGCCCAGTAGTCTTGTCAAGCCCAATCCAAATTGTTAATCGTTACCAACCTCTTGGTAAATCTAATCCAGTAAGACCAGTGGCCCAGTCTACCTTGGTAGCCTCATCCACTTTTCTTCAAATGGCCCAAAAAGAACCAATTAGTTCTTCAAGCCCACAGTTAGATGCCCCAAGTCAACTAGTTGTTCCATACCCAACTTCTAAGCCCAAGCCAGCTTTTCTAGCCCACAAAGGTCCAAAAGCTGAATACACTAAGAAAGGTGAACCCATTACAGTGTTTGTCATTGAACTCATTCATGCTCACCTAAGCAACCCAAAAGATATAGTAAATATTTATTTGGAACCAGGATGAAACTTTATCCCATCTGACCCAGAAAAAACATTTACTTTTTATCAAGATATATTATTCTTTACCCAGTCTATTCATATCAAACTCATATTTGATAGAAATGACCCAAGTAAAGTAATATATCATTCACTATATATTCTAAAATTCATCTCTCTCAAAGAATGGGGATCTTATCCTTTTTTGCTCAAAGATCTCGAGGGNTTAAACAATACTCACAGCAGCTAAAGGTCAGTAGTATAAGAGTTTTTATCTCATTTTCTAAGGATAAATTACACTTTTATCCTCTCAACTATCAAGTTATAAAATTTCATCTCCCGATATTGTTATTGGTTTCATATTATTCCCTTAGTTATCACTTTTCTTGCATTGCATCCCTGACTATATATGGTTATTGTTTTTACATTTATCATACCCTCAATATATATATTGGAAATGCGTATTATAGTAAAACTTTTGGACGTTTTTCGTTCAAAACATGTCAGACGTATGGTTTTAGAACAAAGTGAGATCTTTAGAATTTTAGAATATAAGAGAGATTGATGACAAAATAAATAAATAATGATAGAAAACAAAACACAAAGGATTAAGTGATTCGGAAAATTGCCTACATCCATGGACCTAACGTCCTATGAGCTACATCGATGTATTATTGAATGTGATTGATTACATGGAGCTCAACCCTTTTTATAGGATGAGAATTATATAAGATAAAAATATATCATACATTCCTATCGTTATCTGTATTTATCTTAACATGCTTAGATATCGATGAAATATCTATTTGGATTCTATCGTATCTCTACTTAGGTATTGATGCATTAATTTTTTCTGGTGTCAAAATGTAACTTGTCCTTTTTTAAAAGAGCAATGCTATATAATCCAAATCTATAACTCAAATTTGCATCCCAAATGAAGGATGGTCATTGAATCAATGAGTCCGATTTAAAAAAATTGATGGGACTCACTCATCTAATGGTTCCCTTCATTTGGGATGTAAATTTGGGTTCCAAATTTGGGATACATATTATTTCCCTTTTTAAAAAAATATTTTTGAATTTCTTGTTTACATGTTCTAAAGGGGTCTTTAAGGTGGTATTTACTGCTATTTTCTTTATTTTTTAGACTTTGTACAAGTATGGAGCAAGAAAAATAGCTGTTTTTGGAGCTGGTCGACTGGGTTGCATTCCAGAAGCCTTGACTACCTATGGCACAAATGAATCTTCATGTGTGGAAATGATGAACAGTGCAGCCCAACTATTCAATGATAAACTCGAGCTGCTTGTTGATGACCTCAAGGACAAGCTAACTGATGTAGAATTTTCCTATATTTATGCATCTGGTTCTTCATCCCAGGTTTCTCCATCTAATGGTATGTTATTTCAACTTTTCTACATGGGAAAATTATATTTTGGTTGCCTTAATTATGACGTAATCACACTTTCCCCCCTCAACTGTTGACTTTCTAACGTTGCCCCCTCAACTAATTGAAGTTGTTTCACATTGCTTCCAAATTAAGCGTTCATTGTGTTTTGGGCAGAAAATGTTCATAGGTGTAGTAAAATACGCTTTTTTTTAATAACCCCAAAAGAGAGTTCAAGTGATAACCAAAACGAGCTGCAAACCCAGACATTTTGAGTTCGAATCTTGATAACCCTTGAGACCAAGTCATTAGAGATTTATCCCTCATAAATACTTTAGTTCTGGCATGGATGACCTGTCTTTGACCGAACCGGGGAGGGAATTAGTCGAGGTACACGTAAGCTGGTCCGGATGCTCCTGACCGTTGAACAAAAAAAAACATGTTTTTAAGTTCTCAAATGGGACAATGTGAAACTAATGGTGCAATGTGAGAAATGTAACAAGTCATGGGGGGTAATGTGAGACCAACTGCAATAGTGGCAAGTGCATAGTTTGTGAATTGTGATAATTAAAGGCATAATTAAGGACATCAAAATGTAATTTACGCTAAAAGGCCTTTTTTTGCTGCTTGTGTAACCAATGCACATAACTAGAGTCTCGGGTGTTACTTTTTAGTATCATATCAAAAATCATAACTTAATCAGATCAAGTTACAACTTAGTGGAATCAATCCATTTTTTTAAATCTCATTGAATTAATCTTTTCTATTTTTCAATAAGTTATTGATTTTGATAACTTAGAACTATTTAAATTCAAATTTCGATTTCAAATTTTACAATAGCAGACAGTCCATGCTGTAATGTATCGACTACTATGGGCAAAGGTCAATGTATTCCTCAGCAAGTTCCATGCAGTAATCGCGACGAGTACATTTACTTTGATGGATATCATCCTACTGAGGCCGCAAATATACTCATCGCAACAATTGCATACAATGCCATGTCTGGTCTACTATCTTGTGGAACCTCTTGCAGTAGCAGCCATGGAGAAAAATCAGGCCTCCATAGCATTTCACTGTCTACCACAAGGGCAAAGTTTGTTGCACAATAAACTACCCAGTGACATATATATATATATATATATATATATATATATATATATATATATATATATATATATATATATATATATATATATATATATATATACACACAAACACCTACACCCACACATTCA